TGGCTGTAATGCTATACCTTACATAAGGAGAAAACAATTGAGCTAACCTGCCAATGAAATAAGCCCTTCATTACTACACTTTATTTCAAAGCAGTAACTTTTATCCACTAACGAGAATGTGCACACAATTCCAGTATATCCTGCAACTCATGAGTTAGCCATCATGCATGAACAACTGTATATAAATATAATGGCTATTTCATAACCCCATTTTTCAAAAAAAGAAAGGAATGGGCTTTTTGAATTTAGTTAATACAGTGTAATGATTCTATATACAGTAGTTTAAAAAAAAGCCAAAGGAAAAAGGTAAGGGTTGCATAATGACATATAAACCACTCAAGATTGTACATGCTGTATATATTTCCATACACATTCACTACTGAACACAGTTTAACTTACTTACAAAGCAGAATATGGAAGGAATCTGGATAAATTAGCATTTTATGAGAAGCTTAATTTCCGCATCCATTGATTTTTTTTTTCAAATACATAATCTTAAAATTGAATTATTGTATTAACATTATTTCATTTTTCCTTGGCTTTTTAAAAAAGAAAATAAGACACATAAAGCTCATGCATTCTATAATTTAAGTGGCCTGAACCCAACTGTCATGTATACCTCATTTTGATTAGTTCTGGGGCTTAATTTTCATAACTCACTGATGTGTGCACTGTAGTTGTTGCAGTGTCTGACCCAGGATATTAAAGAGACCAGTTTCCACTGGTGAAAGACAGAGAACCAGATTTCGAGCCACACAGAGCTCTTCAGGAATGGAAAACCTACAGAACACTTTCAAAAGATGAGCCTGGAAGATGGAATTCGCAACTCTGCTAGACAACCAAAAATCATGAACTGAATATAGACCAGGGATTTTCAAACTCCGGGTCATGATTTGTAAGGCCAAGCCACTAACTGGCTATAAGACACTTGGTTTACCTGTGCCTCCCCAGGTATGGGTGATTGCAGAACCCACTGGCCACGGATCTCTGTTTGTGGCCAATGGGAGCTACAGGAAGCAGTGTCCCAGTCCACACTGCTTCACGCAGTTGCGAGTTGCAACCCAAAGTTTCAATACCCTGGAATAGACACACTGAACGTATGACTTACTGCCATATTTTGTAACCCATTACCCTTTTTTTTGTCCTATGACTGCAGAGGTGCTACTGGGCCACTCTCCCTTAAATGGTCACTTAGAACATATGCTAGGTATGTATGCTCAGACTGCAGCCTACACTCTAGGACTCTCCTTATCTTACAAGGTCCTAGAGCCCAGACTCCAACCTAAGCCAAGAAGTGTACACTGCAATTAAACTAGGTATGTATGTCCCATTTACGTAATTAACCTGTTAAGTGTAAAGTTTAACTGCCTGCCTGCCACAGCTGTGCTGGAGCAGCTGCCGTGCTAAGGGAAGGCTCATGGACTGCTGCTTCTGCCCTGTATAAACCTGCCAAATCCCAGCCCACAAGTCTGACTCCCAGTCTTCCCCTTCTCTCCCCCCGCTGCTTCCTCCCTCCCCCACGGGGCTGAGCTGATGTTAAGGGTGATGCTTCCCAAGTAACCAGTTAACTAGTTACCTATTTACATTTCTAAATTAAATAGCCCTTAGACTTAAGCTAGCATTTTGCAAGTGTCTAACTGCTGTACAGATATCCAGATGAGCTCTATGTGGCTCAAAAGCTTGTCTCCCACCTACAGAAACTGGTCCCATAAAAGATAACAACATCAACCACCCTGTCTCTCTAACAACTCACTATAGCAGAAATGGCAAATTAGAACTGTTACATTTTCTATTAATTTGAGTAATCAACATTTTTCTGCACAAGTGGACTATCAGGGCAACAATAAATCTGGAAAAGAAGTAACGAATGATAGGCACTAAGGGTATATCTAGACTAAATTAAAACCACCAGCAGCAAGTTGGAGCTCAAATCCAAACATCTATACAGCTATTTTTAGCACACTAGTATGAGCCTGAGTCTGTAGACCTGGTCTCTAAGACTTGCTGAGTTGGCTTTTAAAAGCAGTGGAGACATTCCTTAATTTAAATTCTTGCACACAGAGCTAAATCCTGTGAAACAATGAGACACTTGCACTCTACCATTTGCAAATTGCTCAGGCAGATCAAGCTAGGAAACAGTACCCTGGGATGTCAAAAAGGGGACTTTAATATGATATAACATTTTGGTATCTGCTAACATAGCCTGCTCAACAGTGATATTTCAAATCAGAACATTTTCATATTTACTTTACTCTCAGATCCTGTCACTTATTAATAAGAACTCATACATTTTTTTCTTCATGCAGATTATAAAAAATTCACAATCTTGAACCTATGAAGTTCTTCTTCCCACCAATAACTCACTAACCAGTTTTCAGATTCTCCCTCCTGTTTTCCAAAAAAAATCACCTGTGAGCTGAGAACTCAACTGTCCCTGCTATCTCATCCCTCACTTGGTGTCTGATGCAAAACAACCAAACTCCGATCTTGCTTTAAGTTATGATAAGAGCAAACTGCACATCAAATTTGGCGAGCCTAGCTCTTAGCATTTAGGAAGGTGATCTCCAAACTTTTTAAGCACAAGGTCACTTTTTGAATTTAAGTCAGTCCAGGATCTACCTCAAACTCAAATATCCCTGCCCTACCTAGGGTTGTCAGGTGTCGAACCGAACAGTCCAGAATTTGAGCTATTTGTTCAGGAAACAAATTGAGAAAATATAAATAAGAAAATATAAATAAGAAAATATAAATGTCTGGTATTTTCTAAAGAAGATGTAATGTAGATAGTGATGCAATGTCAAGTGTGTTTGGTATTTTTGTTGAAACCATCTGGCAACCCTAGCCCTACCCCTTCTCCAAAATCCCCCTCTCCCCACTCTGTGAAGATGGGGTAAAGGAGAGGGGGGACAGAGTGACATCAGTACTCCCCTGCCTCTGTCTCCCCCACCCTACACAACAAGCAGGAGGCTCCCAGGGGTAGCTGAGAGACTCTGGGCAGGAGCAGCAGGGCAATGTGGGAAGGGCAGCTGAAGGACTGGTACTTGATAGCCTCCCAGGCAGACCAGTCAGGATCACCAGTCAGAGGCTCCAAGATCTGCTGGTAGATCCTGATCTACTGGTTGGAGACCACAGGTTGGGAAGAGTTCTTGAACAAATGGACTCACAGATAGACAGGTGGACATAGAGAGATGCACATACTTTTTAATATATATTAGATGACAGATATAAGCTTACATCAAGGTTTTCATTTTAACTACTGCTTCTGTTAACACAAAACGTATCTATAAGCTTGTACTAGGATTATATCATCAATTTTTTTCTCCATTTTATAAGGTTTGGTTTTCTGATTTATCATGGTTTCATTTGAGAGCTTCCCACTCCTATTTTCAATTTTAAAAGTATATCTAGAATATATTAATTAGTATAAAATTCTTGACCCGTGTTATTAGATTAATCTGAAGCAACAATATTAGAGCATAAAAGAGGCACAATGTATAAAAATGTAAGTCTTTACAGTTACAAAGTTTATACCTTCCCTCCATCACCTGCAAGTAATTATTGCACTTTCTTTAGATTCTTATTCTATTACTACAGCCTGTCTAGAGCCTTGAATGTACACCCTTAGAGGTATAAGTGGGAGGAGCAAAGAGAATAATGAAGATGAAAACTGAGTGAAAAACAGCACCAAAACTCAACTTCATCATTTTCCAGTCAATCTGTACTCTTGCAAACATCCTCAAACAGGCCTGGTAGAACTTATTGAAGAGGGAGAAATAGCTCAGTCTTTTCATTAGTATAAATTCTAACACATCATGAACTCCTTTGTAGGGAGAATGGAACAAGGCCATTACATTCATTACATTCAAACTTAACAGCATAAACCAATACAGTTTGTAATAAGAGGTTCCACATTATGTCTGCCAAATGCCTTAGGAACATCTATTCAACTTTTAAAAGACATTTCTACATTAACTTCTGCTTTTGTACACGTTTTTAAAGTCACTGTGTCTTAACTAGATTGAATGTGTGAATAAAATATATCCATAAAAAGTTCCTCCCAGAACAGCCTTTCAGCACTCATCTCCAAATGGGTATTTCAGTACACCATTTCTGTGTATATTCTACACTACGTACACATTACTGACTATACACATTCACACCATCTATAAAAACCTTTCTGAATTACCAAACAGGCTGAAAATTGCACTGCATAAACTGATAAAAATGTGTGTATTATGCAACAGGCATTAACTGTTAAAAATGAATTAAAGCTTCCAAGATTTTTCTTTTATAAGAACAATCTATCAACTCACATTTTTGACACTTGAGACTGAAACTCATAAGATTTGCTGTTCTCACAAACAACAAAGAATGGTTGCCTATGGGATTACGGCATGACAAAAGTGAAGCTGACTCATGGGACCAATTATAAAGCACCAGTACTTATGGCTTTTGTTCCCTCTAAATTATTCTGTATTTTCACCAATGGTTTTACATTTTCAAGCAGTTTAGTAGGATGTCCATATTATACATATTGCCGAACTAGTTACAAAGGCATCTGCCCAAGCTAGAAAACTACCATATTTTAGCACCACACATTGCTGAACAAGCTTTTCCCCATGACCTCCTATAATATAGGTCACTGACTATACAGCCTAAGTATATTTTTGAAAAGTTATAAAAGATACCAGTGAAAAGTAGAAACAGAATGTTTATAGTCTCTTGACCAAGACAGTGTCATAACATTTTTAAATTAAAAATTAAGCAATTTAAAAGAATCAAGTGATTGGTGTTTTTTCCAAATTAAAACAGTTGATATGAAATACAGCCATTTAATAAAAATATTAATACTATTGCCGGTGCAACTTTTCCCCCTGTAAACAATGCCATTAAAACTGCAAATCATTAAAGCACATCAGCAATAAAAGAAGCAACTCCAATTTAAATGCCATTAACTGTGACAGGTTATTGACAGAACAAACAGAATTTGCAATACTTACTGAATGTTTCTCCTGCTGGCCCATAACTCCATGGTTAGCTGAGATTGCTAGTGGTTTCATAATGAAGAAACATATGCTGAACTGAATTTACACATCATGTACCAATTTCTCATGGATGGAAAGTCACCCTCTACAGCATTAAATTACAAGAAGAAGGGGAGGGGGGGGAGAAACCAAGATAGAGCTTAAAGTGTCACTACCGCTAAGCTCAAAAACCCTCTCACACTTGTAATACAGAAAAGCAATCCAAACAACAGCGTTCGTCTCCATTTTTGCAACACTGAAAGTCTAAGCATGTCAGGATGTAAGGAGTCTGATGAAGCTCTAAACATCCAGCATTCCTCCAAGCGAACAAAATCATTCCCTGAGACTGAAGAATGGGAGGAAAAGAAAAAGGAGGAAAAAAAAAAAAAGCTAAAATGGCTGACTGCACAGAGACTCCCTCAAAAAGGCTTATAACAGTATTATATTAGTCAGGTTGTCAGAACCAGCCTCCAGCATTCAGCCAAGCATTGTTAATACTATTTCGTTTGCAATCACACATGCAAACACCCCCACAAAACACACCCCAAAAAATCAGGGCTGAGCATGTGAATAGGGTCCTCCTCCCTGGCTGCTAATGATGCTGCCAGAGTGGGTGACCAGTGATCACTGTGCCACTCAACTAACCAAGTTTGCACAATTAATCTTAGCAGCATGACATTGATCGACATTTAATTTCATGATGCCTGACCCTCACACTCAAGGCAAGCATGTCTACTACTGAGAGTCAGTAACAGAAATACAACACAGTTATACACACAAAAACCTAGAGAATCATGAGTCTGAATGTAATATGCCAATATAATTACATTATTGTGCTTACTTTGGAAGACCATGGCTGCAGGCAGTTGGCATAGCAACGCACAAGGAAAGCCATTTCCTGGGCAGAAAGAATGCTTCCTTTTCTAAATAAAAAATTCCTCTTAGGATACAAACGGCATTGCTGCTTCCTGCAGAAAGCAAAGACACTGTAGTCTGTCTCTTAACCTGAACAGACAGGCACTCTCAATGCAGTTCTAGTGATGTAAGTGGATTTCTCCCTCTCCCTCCCCCTCCCTCTCCCTCTCTACACCAAAATTTCAACTCAAATGAAAGACGCAGTCCTTGAGGCTCACCCACACAAATACTTAAATCATTGCACTCATTAAGGAAGAGATGGACAATTCAGAAAAAAATAACAAGCTCTTGCCTGTACTGTATCAGTTTCTGTAGGTCAAACAAGTCCCAGAGGGAAAAAATCCATTGAGCACTCACTCCAAAGAGTATAACTTGAAGACAGGGCGGGAATAAGAAGGAAGACTTACGTCCACAAGCACTAGGCTAAATACAATTTTTCACCCAGCCAAAGGTAAAGAAAGGTGTTAGACAACACCTTTCCCTTCCAGCACACAAACATAAAATTGCTGCAAAGCAGTAAAACATCTCTGTCATCACTTGATAAGCTTTTGTGAATTTTCAACAGTTTAATCACAACTCCAATTGCAAATATCTATTGACTGATACAAGTAAGGTCCTGAATTTTCACAAATACCAATAACAATCCTTTTAAACAGACATACCTCTACACCAAGATGAATGTCCATTAAAACAATGGAGCATACAATCCCAGGGATATAAATGATTAACTTTTGTCTGTTTTAAAAATGTACTTCTTGTAGGAAAATTTACCCAATCACTCTCATGGACAACACATTACTTCCAGTTTTACATCTGCAGCACTGTACTATAGAGAAGCTATAATGCAACAGAGAACATACTCAAGCCATAAATAAATGTCAGCTGTGTCCAATATAAACTGATGGCTGTGGAGACCAAGCCTTTGCAAACCAACAAACCTGCTTCTCAACCATTAAGCAGTCATTTTGCTAGAATCTGTCTGATCTGCCACATCCAGTATTCACAACAAGTTCCTTAAATCAGACAACAGCATCAATGAACTCACTTAAACAAAACTTTTTTTACTGCTGCTCTTGAAAAAATGAAATATGTAGTTCATGAAACAAAAAGCTATTAACTTGCATAAAAACATTAAAGGTGAATTTTGAAAAATATTAACATGTATTCTGCAGCTATATTCACCAAGTAACTCATGCACTCTATGTTATTTAGCCTAACTTACTAGGTTACTACATGGTGATGATTTTCTGTACTGACACTGATTACTGGCAAATAAGGCTAAAACTAAGTTTAAGTTTAATAAAGGAGGATTCTAACGCAGCTAAGAGCCACAATCTTTTTTATAAAATTATTTTAGGGAGAATTTATTTAATATTTGGCACTTTCAAAAGGGAATATATTTACCTTTATGGGCTTGTTTAATTTAGTATGTCTCCTTGATTTTCTAATACATGTCAAAAGCAGTTCTTTTAAAAGCTGAAATTTATAATTTTCAACAAAACTATTTTATAAACAAATCTGTGCACAGGGAAAATGTTTGGGTATCTTCAGTACTTTGTGAATGATTCTAACATTTTTCAATAATTGATTCAGAATTTTAAAATGTTAAATTTTAAGTTTTATTTTTGGAAATGTTAAACATGTGCATTTAACCAATTAAATTCTGCTTACTGATACTGTAAATTATCCAATTTATGAAACTTAGAAAAGTGAAACAAGATTATGGAGTAGGGAACTGAATAGTTGTGTAGCCGCATGAAATGTTAGCGTTACATGACTAGCAGAGGCAGCATCGTAGGGTAGCTGGTGGGAGCTAGTTCTTGAGGGGAGCCAATTTAAAAACCAGGTCCCCTCATAGACCAGTTGATAACTGAGGCAGCTGCATGGGGTGGCAGTAGTCCCTGTTCATGGAAAGCATGGACCCCCGCCCCTCACGGTCAGAGGCTGCTTCGTGGCAGTCTCTCCATGCCCACCCCTCCCCCACGGCTGCATTTGATGGTGGGGGTGGCAGGTCCGCGGGAGCAGATACATATGGGGAGCTAGATTGAAAGTGGGCTCCCTGTCCCTCCACGGAGCTGCCTCTCTGTCAGAGGTAGAGCACAGAAGTGGAGGGGACAGGCAGATCTGGTGGGGAGTCGGCTTTTAAGCCAGTTGCCCCTCCATCCCGAGCGCTGGCTCCCGCTACCCCCCTTTGCTGTCTCTGATACACAGGCAGCACCGGGGGCGGGGTGAGGAAATGCATGTAGTCAACAAGATTAACCAATAGGTCCAGGCTTATAGGTTAATCATGTAGTCGTCTACATGATGACATCCCTAATATGGATAAAACAAAAATATTACTTTTTGTCAAGGTAAACAAACACATGCTGTGTGGCTTGGTGGACTTGTGATTAGTGCCCTTCTCTAACTTGAGTTAGGTAGCTTCAGAGGGTAGCCAAGTTAGTCTGTTCAGGATACTCTATAAAATGCTACCAGACCATTTGGAGGTTTTAAAGTGTAACAAAACATACAGATGATATCACGAGCTTTCGTAGGCACAGCCCATTTCTTCAAAACACCACTTCTTGAGTTAGGTGTTTCAACTCCTGGCTACCAAGTGATGGATTCTCTGCAAAAGCAAACCATTTCATGCCTATGTGGGGAAACACTGCACCAATCTCCACAACTTATTATATATTAAACTGAACACATGCATAGTACTTTACCATTTGACTTAAGAACAAAAGCAATAATTCTCCAAAGAAATCAAGCCTAGCCATCTGTGATAAAAACACTTGAGAGAAATAAGAAAACATGTACTGAACAGAAAAGTATCAGGGAGGGCGAAAAGCCGGGAATTAAGACACAATTGAAAACAGGTTAGGAATAAAGAGTAAGAGTTACTTCAATAAGCTCTGGACTCAATATGATTTTTCACCCGGGGGGAAGATTTTAAAAAGGTGTTAGACAACACCTTTCCCCTCTCCCCAGCCCACAAATATAAAATTGCTGCAAAGCTATAAAACATGTCTGTTGAGTAATTATAAACAACTAACCATACCATACCAACACTTCCATCTTAATTACTGAAAATTACCTCATTACCAAAAGCAAAACTACACTATCAAATTAGAAAATAAAGCCCTGATTTTAGAAGAAGATACACAACAGCCTAGCCAAACTGATTCTTGACTTCATCTAAAGTTACAAGTTGAAGTGCAGCCGTAACAGCGCTTTAAACTGGGAGTGTGGTCAGGACATGAGCACTGGGAAAGAGATCTGCCAGCGCTTTACGTGAACCACCTCAACCAGGGGAATAGTTAACAGTGCTGAGAGCACAGCTCTCATTCAGACTGGTGCTTTACTCTTATTACACTCAGAAAACGGTGTTTTTTCACACCCGAGCCAGAAAGTTACAGCACTGCAAAATGTCAGTGTAGATTTGGCCTTAGTTACTGAAGTTTAAATAGCTCACACTGTCATGAATCACAAAATCTTGTAAGACTATCACCTTTGAAATTAGACAAAACCTGTGCCACCATCCTTGCTGTGGCTTAAAATAAAGAAGTATTATTTACTGTTGTGCATGCAGCTATCTGATAGTTACTTTGTTACTTAACAACATGCATAAAACCTAAGATATCAAGCCTCTTCATATATCTGCTTTCTCTCCCTCCTCTGACCTGTCTCTAAATACCAAAGCAGCTTCATATGGAGTAATTTTATCTTCAACTGTTTTTAACAAAGTAATTAAAATATCATAATTACACATTAAATAAAATGATTAAGGCAGAAATCTGATCAACATTTTGTAAGTTTTAAGTCCTATTTCAAATATAACTGGAATTCATAAAAAAAAATCTCTAAAGTTTCCACATATCCTGGAAAGTATCCAATCTTAGATAATTATGATTAGTAAAAAACACAACTTTGCTTTAACCATAATATTCAAATGATGAATAGAGATGAAAGGGAACCAAAAGCAACATTCAAGCCAAGGTTAATTCTTAATGTTTGTTGTGTCATAAAGTAGCTCTATAGTCATCCAACACAAGTTTTCTGTAAGGAAGACTAGGTTTACAGTCCTAGAAAAATTGTTCTGAAGAGAGATATGAAAGAGATGAATGGCAAATGAGGTCACGGACAATATACAATGAGGGCGTCAGTGAAAAGAAAAAGAGACTTGTTAGCGAAAAGCAGACACTAGTAACCCATTATATTTTCTGAATCTAGAATAGAATATCCCTTTAATAAGAAACCTGTTTTTTATCCTTTTCACTCATTCTGAAAAATGTGCAGAACACCAGCAGTAATAGTAGTACATCATTTTAGTGCATGTAAACATTCCTCTTTTTCTTTGTTTAGTAAAAGGCAAAGGCCAAGTCTAAAAAATTATTTTTTTAAAAAAAGTTCAGTATCGTTAAACATGCATTTCCCAGCACCCACGGGCATTTCAAACTATTTCTATACCATTTTTCTTGACCTCAATTAGTGTTCCCCAACAATTTGTCTCTTGGGAGATGGCTGATAACGAATAAAAAGGAGCATGGGGAATAAAAAAAAAATTGCTCTGAATGCTGCAATAAGTTTAAATGCCTCATATACTGAACAGATAGAGCCTTGCAAGTTTTATATCCATGGACTATGTTTGCAGATTACAGATAAGACGTGGATACACATTTGTATCCATGCAGGGCTCTACAAACACAGCCCTTTCCTCTAACATGCTGTAGTAAATTCCGAACTCAAATGAACACCTGTACAGTCATTTCAAATTTACCCACAACTTTCTCTAAACTCTCGGAAAACTTCACCAAATTAATAAAAACAAACTACTGATCAAATTCACAATGTAGTTTTTCTTCTTAAAATTGTATTACTTCAGCCAAAACAAAGGAT